GCATTTTGCTTCGTCAAAATATAATTGAAATTGAGTCTTTCACGTGGGTATATTTATTGTACATGTACATATATATATATATAATATTCAATTGCAAAAGGAAAAGATTTTACGACTCTTTAAGTTGACAAGTTCAAGAATATCACATTAGCGCGACTTTTGAATAAAATCGTGCAGGAAGTAATTATCACAAGAAAGAAGACGTTACTTATTTTCATGGCACATACACCTCCTTTGAGTAAATATATGTCAGCATGAATAGAGCATTTTAATTTGTTGTGAAATACAATCTCTCGTTTACGTTTAACGTCTAAAAATATTTCGTTTCAAAGACGGTCAAAGCCATTTTCTATATAAGCGGTCTCTCTCTCTCTCTCTCTCTCTTTTTTTTTTTTTTTTTTTTTTAAAATTCTCTGAAAATGAATATATAATGAAAAATCTGAAAAAGTTGAAGAAAGTTCCAAAAAAGAAAAAAAAGATTGAATATATGTATAATTGTTAAAACCTTTTGTTAATTCTTATTCTTCACGATTCATTGCATTGACCACACAGCAATTACAACAAGTGCTTTACAGCTAAACGAAAGAAAATTACCATCATTAAAATTATTCTAACCGTCTTTTACAATAAATGATCTGTTACAAAAGACCATAAATGAAAACAAAAATTACGGTAAATAATATATATATATATATATATATATATATATATATATAATAAATAATTGAAAATTTTTTTAATAAATAACAACAAATATTAAATAAATAAAATTATAAATTCAACGACAAATAGTAAATAAAAAAACAACTATTTCAGCATATTCTGTTTTTCTACTTTAAATTCATTGACAAGACAAACGAAAGTATTCCAGTAAAGGTCGACAGTCTAAAATTCTTCTCATGGCAAATGTAATTTCACACTTGAAGTACGAAATATTTCTCTTTTTGTGTCACTATTTTGACAAAAAGCTTATTTAAATTGCAAACAACTGGAGACACCGTAAAATATAGATATACAAAAATTTACCGACACAAGTAATGATGTCAAATAGAAAAAATTAAAATTTGCAAATAAAAAAAAAATAAAATAAAACAAAGAAAAACAAAAAAAAGGGTATGTAAAATTAAATTTATTCATTTTTGAAAATAATTGAAATCGAGAACAAGAGAAATAGGTGAAAATTTAATTATTTTTTCCTTCATATATTGTAACCTACATTAACTATATTAAGGCGATTATATACAATGTAATAATAATAATAATAATTAAAATCCGTAATGTTTCCCTTTTTCAACTTTCACGCATCACGTATCTCAGGTTATGAATTTATCACCTAAAGTAGTTTTTAGATCAAATTAATTGTAGATTTTAGTTTAACTAATTTTAACAGTAAAAAGAAAGTCTTCCTTACAATACTTGACAGATTTATTATAACTGATGTTATATATTTTTTTCACATTATATTCGCAATATTTAATCGTTTTTAAATCTTTAATTTTAATTTACAATCAACATTTTAATTTATAAATATAAATTTTGAGACTAAATTGAAATTTTTTATTTAACAATTAAAACTGTTTAAAGATGATATTTCAAAATTTTTTATTTAATAAAAACAACTTTCTTATCAAACACAAAAAAGAAATGAAACGAAATTAATTTTCGGAATCAATTAGACTTACTTTCGTTCTTAGCAAAAAAAAAAAAAAAAAAAAAAAAAAAAAAAAAAAGACTCATTTTTATTCGCAATTTTTTTTTCTCGACACATTTCAATCAAATGATTTTGTGGAATCAATGTTATTTTAGCTATAATTCAATTTTCATCATGAATGAAAGCGAGAGAATTCGGGAGCACAATATTCTCCAAACCGGAAGTAGGCGAGACTGATGCAGCACGCTTCCAGTTGAGTTTACTAGCCTCGGAATAAGCAGACTAACATGATCGCGTCGCTTTCGCCGTATACAGGGAGATCATTTTCACGGCTCGTACCTGCCTACGAGAAATCGGTAACAAGTTGCTAGTTCCGGCATAAAGCATTAACAGTTCTTAAATGGAGAAAAATGACAACGAACTAATTATTGTTAAGCGAATCAATAAAACTGCTGATTATAATAATAAAGAGAAAAAAAACGTAAATTATATTTATAAATTATACGCGAACGATAATAACAATCGAATAAAAAATAGAAGCGGTAAAAGTAAATTTAACAATAGGTTTAAAAAAAAGTACAATGAAGAAATGAAAGAATATTGCATTTTGGACTCTCCAAAAATATGTTCTCGTTCCAAACAGCGTACTTTTGATGCACGAGTGCATTTATGAACTCGATCATTAAGGTCCACCTCCTCTCAACCCCTTTCAGAGAATGTATATGCGAATCCATGTATAACGCCTTTGGGTTTCACTTGAACTGACCCAGATAAGGTTTTATCCAATAGACAACGGCAAACAGGAATTTATAATATTCCATATCCAAGGTCGGAATAGATCTGCTTGATAACAATTGAATTGTTCCACATTCCATAATCATGGGATTTCAACGAAAGAGAATCTTATACTTTTTTATTATATATATAGCGAATATTTCCTCCTTTGACAAATTTTATTATATTCCAATTAGAATAATTCTATCATGTTTTTTTTTTTCATTCATCATCGTGGGAAGAAGAGAAAAAGACAAAAATAGTTTGAAGTTTTTTTTCTATTCTATACTTCAATTTATGTTTATGGGTTGATTTTTTAATATAGAAAACACTTTTTTAAGTAAAAAACTTTTGTAACTGCAATTGGAAATTTGTTTCTGTCAGAAACATTTGTTTGAATACCATAACAGCATCTGGATATTCAGGATATTCTACGGACATCCTTGGAATATTTTGAGGACTTCCTAGAGATATCCTTATTTCCGGATATGCATATAGGACGTCCGTAGGATATCTTGAAATATCCGTTGCTGATAGGGTATGAAACATTTGTTTCTTTACGCAAGATTTTGATGTACTTCAATCTTTGTTTGGGATATTTTTTTTAATTTAGGAAATATTTGATTATGTACGAAACTTTTGTAACTGCAATTGAAAATTTGATTTTGGAGTAAACTTTTGTTTGCATGTAGAACATTTCTTTTTGTACGGAACATTTGTTTTGGTATAAATTATTTGCTTCTTTAAGGAAGATTTTGGTGTACTTAAACCATTATTTATGTATGGGACATTTTTTTTTAATTTAAGAAACATTTGATTATGTACAAAACTTTTGTAACTGTAATTGGAAATTGGTTTTTGACAGAAACATTTGTTTCTACATAAAACATTTGTTTTTGTTTAAATCATATGTTTCTTCACTACACTGTAAAAAATTTAGGGAGTTAACAGCACTAGGAGTTAAAAATCAACTCGAAAAAGGAGTTAACCAATAGTGGAAGGGAGTTCTGGTTAGGGAGTTCAGTATCAACTCCCTTTTGAGTTATTTTATAATGGAGGATCATATTCTTCAACTCGTGTAAGGAGTTAAAGTTGAACTCCCTAATCTGAACTTTCTTTGCTTTAACTCTAAAAAGGGTGCGACTTTTATAGAGTCCCTTAGGGAGTTAAATTTTAACTTCCTTTTTTCAGTGTACAAAAAGAAGTATCTTATTTTAAGATGTTTTGGTAGCGTTTTTAAGAAATTAAGATGTTTAAGACGTCGTGATAACTTGAAAACGCTACCAAAACATCTTAACTTCTTTTTGCAGTACGAAAGATTTTGTTGTACCTTTGTTTATGTATGGAAAATTTTTGTTTTAATGTATAGAAAACATTTGATTATTTACAAAATTTTTGTAAATGCATTTAGAAATTTCATTTTGTAGAAAACATTTGCTTGTATATGAAACATTTGTTTTTGTTAAGAGCCTTTTTTTTATATAAAACATTTATTTCTTTACAGAAGATTTTGGTTTATGTAATGAAACATCAGTAAACATTTGCTTATACATGTTACATTTATTGCTTCCACATGGAAAAAGTATTTATATTATTGAACATTGTTTGCACGATATACATTTGTCTATATGCATAAAACGTTTTTAGTATAAAAAATTCATTTTCGTACAGTAAATTATGTTTTTATCTATATCATTCACTTGTTTATCATTCTTTAAGCATAAAACTTTATGTATAATTTTGCGCATCTGTAAATTTTTTCTGTATAATTTTCTTATTCTTTTATTATTTTTTGTAAGTTTATTAACAATTCGTTTAATAAAGTTCGTTTACCATAAATAATTAACTAAATAAATAAACAAATTAATGTCATTTCCATCTTAGAAGAATCTAAAAAAAATTAAATTTCTATACAATTTCACCAATCAAATGACAATGATCCATGAACAATTTCCAGTGAATGATTCAACGTCCAAATAAGGTCAACTCCAAACAGTAACGTTTCCGTCTAGTGAAATTTTTTGAAGGAAGCGTGAGAATGATTCGCGTGTGGCGATAAGGCGAAATCACCGCGGTAAATACGTGAAAAAAATAAAAGAACCAAAAAAAAAAAAAAAAAAACATAGAGAGAAGGAAAGACACAAGAAGCGCATTTGAATCCAACGAAGATATTTCACGCGCGAGTGTCTAAAATTCAAATGTCTCTTTGACAAACAAGTCATCATCATCAACATCCAGAAGGGAGTGGATGGGTTATAAGAGAACAAATATACATATATATAGCTGGAACGTGACGATTTGGATGTAGTCGATGTACATGAAAATATTTTCTAGAAAAAAAAAATAAAATAAAGAAATTGGAGGAGGAAGTAATTGATGTGGGTAGGGGATTTGATGCTGATGCGGTATTCATTGCTCTCGACTCGGTTCGGTGGTTGTTTGTCGTTGAAACGTAAACCTCTCTTCAGATGATGGTGTATGAAAATGGTTGAGTATTCCGCGAATGGTGGGGGCGAATATCCCCGTGTACGGTGGTACACCTGACCAGATATATAGAGCTAGGGCAGGGCTTCCGTTACGTACAGTCTACGTAGAGTGCTCTCAAGTACGCATCTCGCGATCGTCAGCGAGTATAGTAGCTTATAGTTGTTTGAGAGAGGCTTTTATTAAAAAGAAAAAGGCGCAAATTTTGATTCGTATCGAATCGCGCGTACCGGATTACTATATTTAGTACAATAAAAAGGTACAGTGTTCCGTGATATCGAAAGCTTACTACTACTACTACTGCTGCTACAACTAAAATGGGATAAAAAAAATCATCGAATATCATTTAAATATTTTATTTTTTTTAAAAAAGGGTGATTTCAACTAAATCGAAAAGTGAGATACGTGAGAAATCAACATTTTCGGGGGTCCGTTACGGAATTTTTTTTTTTTTTTTGCACACTTAATTGCGGGTTTAATACTAGAATTATATCTAAAGCTTCCATGTGGATTACTGTCTGATAGTGATTCTTATCGTTGTGCTTTTCAATAATCAACGGCTCATTTTTTATCCTTCATCGAAATTTTGGATTTTTCCTCATAAATTTGAATTTTTTCAAATTTTTTAGAGTCAATTTTTTTTTTCTTTTTTTTAATGAAAATCTTGGATGATTTTTTGAAAAATTGATAAATCTTTTTTGGAGTTGGAATTTATTAATTAAAAATTAATTAATTATTTGAATATTTACAAACAATTTTTTATTTGCAATAATTGTTCATGATTCAAAACCAGTGATCATCAACAGTTGCTGATGATTTGGAATTGTCTTTGATTATATAAGCATCAGTTGTTTCGATCATTTGTTGATATAACAGACGAATTTGTCACTTGGTATAATAATATAATTTAATTAATTAAATATAATAATATAATATGAATAATATTAAATATAATAATGAACAAATATGAAATATAATATTAAAAAAATATTATTAAACTAAAAATTATGATTATTCATCTATTTAAAAATTGCAGATTTCTGAAATTTTGCTACTAATTGTTGATCATTTTTTCAATTGATAATTATTAAACTTACTTGGATATATTTATATTATGCTCATTTGCAACAATTTACTGATCTTTGGTAACTGTTTTTAATTAGTAACAGTATTTTTGCAATTGATCATTAAATTGATTAAACCTTTTTTTTTCATCAGTTACAAGATTTGTAATTATTTGTACAATCCTTTGAAAAATATCACCATTTTTGAAAATCATATTTGTCCCATTTTTTTTTTATCAATTTAGAAAATTCAGTTAATCAGTGAAACAGTTTTGATATTTTGTCCCAATTTTTGTTGAGGTAAAAACATTATTCATAATTTTTCTCAATGTTTTGATTAATAGGGAAATATTTTTAATCATTTGTTTTAATTTTTATCATAGAAAAATTTGTTGATCGATAGTAAAAAATTTTACCATCTATCTATCATCTACCACATTTTTTGATGATTTGCATTTGTTGGTCTTTCATTTATGAAATACACAATTCTTTTGATAATTGTTTAATGATTCTCTGTTGTTTATTATTTTCTATGCTTTTTCAATTAGCAGAAAAATTTGCCAACTCCCGACAATTATCAATTTTTTGATTCGCATTCTTTGTTGTTCATTTCAATTTTTTTTTTTTTTTCTTTAATTTGCACCATTCGTACAAAAATTGCACCTGTTTTCAAAATTTGATCTTTTTGTCCAATAAGTAAATAAAGAATAGTGTTGACAAAGTTTTGCAGGTACCATAAGTAAGGATTTGATCAATTTTGTAACTTACTGATCAACAAAGTATTTTAATCAATGTGTTAAAATGTGAAAAATAATTAATTGCTAATTACTGATTATACTTTGTTAAATTTGTCTAATTGGATATTTTCTTTTCAGGTACCTTCAGTGAACGAAAATGAGATTATTGGCCCATCATTGCATATGTATCGCTGTCCTTTTGGCCACAGCTTCAGCCAGATCAGCAGACACACAGCCAACGAGTAATTCAATTGATGATCAGAGCGCAAGGTCAGGTGGTAGCGGAGTGTTTGGTGATCTTCGCTATGTTTATCAGGTCTATAAAGATTGTTCGGGATCGGAGTTGAGTTCATGTTTGAAATTGAAACTTCTCACCGCCATGGACAGGGTATCGCGAAGTGTACAACTCAACATTGTTGAGGGAATCACATTAGTTAAAGACGATCCCAACACGCCCGATGAACAACCGAAATCTGCCGAAGAAATTGAGGCCAATTTACCACGTGCTCTTGATGATCGAGAAGATGCACTCAACACTATGATACTTGATAAAATTGTCAATTTCTTCCAAAGTCATACACTCAAATTGAAACTTCCCAATGTTGAGGAGTTGCAGAGGAGTCTCACTGAAGAAGGTGATTATTTATAAGTACAATTGCTTTCAATTTAAAGAATTTACAATTGATCCATTTACAGTAATTATGATGTTCTATTGATAGTTCATGATTTGTTGGGCTAACATTTTTTTCTAGTTATTCGTACCAATTGTTTATATTTTGGTACTAATTGTTGATATTTGATACAAATTGTTGTCATTTAGGTAGCAATCTCCTTTATTTTGATAATTTTTTAATTTTAATCTTTATTGAATATTTGTCAGAAGCTATTACTAAATTGAAAATAATTGCTTTCCATGTGAAAATACTTCTGTCCTACAAAGGAAAAACAAGAAAGTGACAAGTAAATACGTGTGACTTTTTTTTCTTGTAGGACAAAGTTGTTTCATAATAGTTGGTTACATTGATACCAGATGATTTTAAATTTGAAACCAAAATTTTGTTCTACAAACTAATATAGCAGATAGAATTGGTTTCTATGAAAATTTTTCCTTTATAGTACAATTATTCTGCGATCATATATCATTACAATCATTCGGTAATCGCATGCCATATGTGTAAATAGTCTTACATCATCATACTCAATGATGCAAGATCTTATAAAAATTATTGATCCCTTGTTTCTGATCTCCATTCATAAAGTAAGCAAAATTTCGCTTTTATTGGTTTTTTTTTTTTTTTTTAAAGGAAAGAAACATTTTTTCGCGATAAATTATGTAATGTTGCATCATTTTATGAAAGAAAGTGGAAAATTCTTAAAAGATTGTGAATCAATATTGTTCTTTGAGAATGGATGTGTGAATCACTTTCGTCTGTGAATATCGAGGATGATAACGAGTACTAATCGACGAATATATATTTGTGTTTCAGGTCGTGGTAAGAAAAAGAAAGGTATGGGAGGACTACTCGCCATTCCACTTCTGATTGGTGGTACGCTGGTACCCTTGGCTCTCGGGGCACTTGCACTTTTGGCTGGAAAAGCTTTAATAGTCAGCAAATTGGCGTTGGTTCTTGCCTCAATCATTGGTCTCAAGAAACTCGTCTCGAATCACGATCATGGACATGAAGTGGTTCAAGTCTCGGGACATGGCTCCAGTGGATGGGCGAGGTCGGGCCATGACCTTGCCTACAATGCCTACAAACCACCCTCAGCCTAGGCAAACAAAAATTTGAAAGACTTTATTTTTTAAGACTTCCTTCTTCCTTTCCTTTTTCGTTACCTTCTTTTTTCTTCTTCTTCCTCTTTTCCTCTTCTTCTATTTTTTCTCAATCATCTAGACTTGTCTTTCACTGCACTGTGATTTTCATTTTTTTTTTGTTTTTATCACTTCATTTTTCTTTTCCTCTTTCTTTCTCTCGCTTTCTCAGATGTATCCGTTTGTCTCTTTATCTATCCACTGTGTCTTCATCTATCTCTATCCTCTGTCTCTCTATCCTGTATCTTTAATTTATATCAACTTTTTTACCTTTCTCTTTTTCATTCTCCTTTTTATATTATCACTTTTATCTATTCTATTCCTATCTTTTTATCATTTTCATAAAAATGATTTTTTAATTATTTTTCATGTTCCTTAATGTATCCACAATTCCAAAATATCTTCCTTTCTTTTCATATATCAAAAATTCATTTTAAAAATATTATTATTAATTAATCGTTCCTTTCTTTGATTATTAATTTAAATTAATCAGAGAAAGGACTGAGGGAATTCAATGATAGGAATTCCCTTTGGATGAATTTTGAATCATTTAAGAACATACGATTTCCATCATCCCTAGAGTCCATGCCTCTGTCTCTCTTATCTACCTCTCTTTATATAGTCCTTCACTCTCATTCTGCACAACTATTTTCTCATTTCTCTCGTCATTTCTCTCTCTCTCTCTCTCTCTCTCTCTCTCTCTCTCTCTCTCTCACTATTTCTCACTCACTCTAATCTTTCAGTATTTATTTGTCGAGAAAAAGCGAAAAATCGTGCATTTGTAATATTCATCATGTATATTTATAAATATTTAATAAATTAAGAATTTCCAATTTATTATCTCGTCTACTATTATTCATTTTGTTGACCGACTTTAAGGAATTGTTACATATATGCGTTTTTGCCTTATTCTGGGAGGGGATCGAACAAAAAAAAAAAAATGAGAGAAAAATCGCTCGAGTAGAAAAGGAATTTCTCCAGGAAGTTTGAAATAGTGACACAAAGTCTGATGCGAAACATATAAGACACGTGCTTTCGTTCAAGTATGAAAATAACGGATGTCCGATTTGAGTCTCTCTCTCTCTCTCTCTCTATCAAAAATGGGGCTTATAAAAAGGGGGAGGGGGAGAAATAGGAAAAGTACACTATAAAATAATTGGAGCCTGACTGATGGTCATGTCGATTTGGCGTGTAGACGAAAGTAATAAGGACCATGCTATATATTGAAATAATTTTCAAATGATTTTGCTTGAAATTATAAAGTTATGTCGACAGCTGCAAATCCAGAGTTTGTACGTCTATCGATTTAGAATCTTGATGCAGGCCAAGAAGAGATAAAGAGAAAAAGAGCGAGAGAGAGAGAGAGAGAGAATGAAATATTTATATTTTGCTTCCGTCTTGAATGCAACGATATGAGAGAAAAGAGTCGTCTTACCTACATATAAAACTTGTTGCCAAGGTGGGAACGAAACTTGGCGCGAAATGCACCTTACGCACTGTGCGTATTAGTGTTCGTGTACCACACATGTATATGTGTGTGTCTGGCCAACGCATACAGTGCGAAGAAGTAAACCAGGCCGACCAGGCAAGTCAGCATCCGCGGCCGGTGCGCCTTTTCAAGGTGTGCCTAACACTCTCTACCATGAAGAAAAAGTCGTCTTTCATGGTAAAGTCTCCGGTTCTTGAACTTCTCGTCCGGGTGGTCCCCGACAGAAAATCTAAGCTTCATTTTCTCCATTTGTGTAAAAACTGGGATTGTATGTTCCAATTTTCTATATAACCAACTTCTTTTATGGAATTTATTTTCTATTGTTTTTTTTTCTTTCCCTTGCTTCGAAGGATTTACGGATCCATATGAGAGCGAGAGTTTTCAGTTTCAATTTCTCCTTGATATTTAATGTAAAATTTTTGAAAAATAATATATTTTTATTTTTTCACACCTTTTTTGCAAATTAATTTTCTTTAATGGTGAAAGAAAGTTTAAAAACAATTATAGTAATATTATTAATTAAAGTAAAAATTAAGGGTATAGAGTAATTATTCTGTTTTTTTATTGATGAATAATTCATGATTCTTAGGCGATAGTGATAATCATTGCCGGTAAACAGGGTAAAATATGCGTTGCTCTTAATTTGAGAAAGGAAACAAAAAAAAATATATATATAACACGAATGCGGTTTTATTTAATATATCCTTAAGAAGAAACAGCTCTCGAGAATGCGATTCAGTGCAGGTAACTTTAATCAAGTCCATTGATCCATTTCGAATTAAAGTGATGGAATAAAATTGAAAAATTATAGAATTATTTATGTAGAACACTCTGAAAACGAAGAAACTTTATCTTTTTTTTTTTTTTATAAAATTCAATAATATCTTGAATTTATTATTTATATCTTTAATTTATTTATTTAATTAATTTAAGTAATTTAACAAATAAATTGAAATAAGTAAAAATACGTAAAAAAAAAAATAAAAAAAAGGGCAGAAAAATATTCTCTAAATTTGAATTAGTGAAAATTAGTTGACAATTTTAAATTAGTAGAAATTTTCACTTATTTTTAATAAAATATTACTATTTGATTCAGGAAATATTTTTTTTTTGTTTATTTTATTTACTAAAGGTTTAGTGAAAAATCTGTAAAAATTAGTAGAAATTTTCACTAATTTAAATTAAATGAATTCTCATTAATTCAAATTTAGAGAATATTTCTTTATTTTTAAAATTTTACTTATATCATTACAATTTATGTATTCAATTTATACGTTGAATTATCATTAACTTCATATATTTAAATAATAAGTAATTTTATGGTTTATTCTTTTAATTTTTCTAAAAAATAATTTTTCTGCCACGTCAAGACGCCTAGATCCATACTATTAAATTGAGGACTATTTCGAAACTTTCCAAAATTACTCGATGACCACTAAACAAGAATTTATCGACGTAAGGCAGTGATGAATTCATTTACAACCTTTATCCCGTTATTAAAATCCTATGCACTTATCAATCTCTGAAAATTTCAAGTTTTCTCGTTCTATTCTGAATTTAGTAATATCTTTTAATTCAAAAATCCGTGAGAAAAAAAATTCGACAAATTTTTTTTTGATTTTCTTTTTTTTTGATAAAAACGCCTTAATTTTCAAATATGCTCGAATATGATTTTGAATTGAAAATTTTTTTACTTTGTTCGCTTATAACTGAAATTTGAAATGCTTTAATATTTTTTATTTTGACTGCGTTCAATTTGAAATGTTTCAATTTTTGAAAGTTTTCCATTTTGAAAGTCTGTAAATTTTAATAGTTTTAAAAATTCGGTCTATATTTTTCCAAATTTTTCTTTTAATCATTTAATTTTTAAATATGATTCCGATTATCAACGTCTTTAATTTTGAATTGCTTCTAAATATTTAGGCAACATTTCAAAATTTGGTATCACTTTCAAATTTCAACGTTTTGAATTAGGAAAGCGTTTCCAAATTTTATTATCAACCTGGAACAATTAAAAGTAACTATTTAAAATTTTTGAGTTTAAATGTGTTCGAAATAAAAAAAAGAAATGAAAATGGACATTAAAAATAAACTGAGTCATAATTTTTAAAAAATTATCTTCTTTTCCAACTCGATGACATTAAAAATCGAATTAAACATGCAGTATTTCTAGTTATAGTTATTTATCTTTTGCTAAACAAAATAGTTTCAAAAAAAAAAAGAAAAAAAAATTGAATATTTATTACAAAAATTGATGATACAATTAAGGTGGATGAAGTGTAAGGCAGTTATTGTTATATCATCGTTCGTGATGGTTTATTCATTCAACTTTTTTTTTCTTTTTTTTTTTTGCGAAAGTTGTAAAGATCGCTCGTAGACTGATGGTCGCCAAACTCTCTCCGAATATTTTTGCTTTACCTGTCCTAAAAAAAAAGAAAAGAAGCAAATAACGTTCCACTAGAATAATCGAACAAATGAGGAATTACAGTAATTGCATTTTGTTCTCTATATAAAGTTGAGTGTTCTAGTTAATGGCAATCACCTCACACTATTAAAGTGATCTTGGTTAACTTACCTATATATACTGACGCTTTTTCACTTAGCACGCAAGTTTCCACACCATTGCATTTCTTACTATATCGAATTTTTCATTAATTTGATTATTATATTTTTCTGTTCTTTTTTGTTAAAAATTTTTTTTTTTTTATTTTTCTTAGAATTTTTTTTACTATTCTTTTTTACAAAAAATTAGTTTAGAAAAATATGTTGACAAATCATTTTGAAAGATAAAAAATATATTGTTCTTTTTCGTAAAAATTAAAAGAAAAAATTCTTTTTAGTTAAATTGCTAAAACATTAGTTTTATAACAATCCTGCATTTTTATCACAAGTTAACGTCGTATATACTTGTGTATTAATTCAATAAATTTTGTCTAGGTCAATTTTGGTCAATTTCTATAGGAAAATTAATTTGAATTAACAATGATGGAAAACCAGAAATTCTCAAAATGTTTGTTAATAGCTAACGAATATGGAAAACCAGGAATTCTCAACACGACTAACTGGTGTTTATGTCAGTTTTGGTCTATTTTTACGGGGAAATTAATCAAAGTTAACAAAGATGGAAAACCATAGGGGCGATTATGTAATTCCATTTTCTTTCCCAATTTCACTTTTTGTAATTTTCATTTCCCTTTTCACTTCCACTTTTTTCTAATTCTAATTTTCATCACCACTTTCATTTCCACTTTATCTAATTTTTATTCCTATTTTCAATTTCACTTCCATTTCAACCTTTTCTAATTCTCATTACCACTTCGACTTTTTCCAATTTTCATTCATTATAATTTAAAGAAATGGAAATGGATGTGTATGAAAATTAGAAAGAATAGAAGTCAAAATGGAAGTGAGAATGAAAATTAGAAGAAGTGGAAAAATGAGAATAAAAATGAGAAAAAATGGGAATAGAAGTGGGAATGAGAATTAAAAAAAGTGGAAATGAAAATTGAAATGAGAATTAGAAAAAGTGGAAGTGGTAATGCAAATAAAAAAGTGGAAGTGGAAATTAGAAAAAGTGTAAATGAAAGTGGAAATGAGAATCAGAAAAAGTGTGTAACGACCCAAGTATAAGAAATTTTTGGTAAGAGGAAATTCGTGGATTCGTCTTATACTGGGGTTACAAGAAAAAGAAAATTTAGTCTCGATCAACAATCATAACTATTAATTAGGTTAATATGACAGTTCAGAGATACTTATGTAATAAAAGCAAAGATATAACCAGTTCAGAAGGATAATTTAATTGGTCTTACCTTGACTGTACCAGTAATTGATAGTCGAAATGCGCTAAATTCCTTGATTAATTATTAGAATTATTTTATAAATTTCTGATGCACTGGATTAATTAATAATGCGCTATTTTATATAAACTCACTATTGATTAGTTGAAATACAATTTACATCGCTATTCCGGATGATTTATGCGCAGATTAAATAAAATAAAAATCTTTTACACACTGAGAAAACTGGAGGTTCAGATTAAACCTCTGGAGGGATTAAGAATTCATATTTGAGAGTTGGCTATGGAACAACACTCTAAGTAATCGAATACACCATTCAGGGAAAGTCGTGTTATCCCTCCTGGAGGGATAATAAGTTTATGATTGAGGAACAAATGATAAATCTTGAGGAATCCCTTCCTTATCTTGCGCGGAATAAATAAATATGGCAACCTAACCTCAAAATTTAATACATTAAATTAAATGTCACCATATATCTTAGCGCGATCTTTGTGCGCAGAAGCTAATTCAAATTTTCTGCGCAGCATTTATCCCTCCGTGCGTGAACGGAC